TTGTCCCCAGAGCGCTCTGTGGACATTCAGAGCGCTCGTACGGGTATCCGAGCGCTCTGATGTGTCTCAGAGCGCTCTGAGGACTTGTCGATTTTTTTTGGTTAGTTGGAAAAAAAGGAACCTTGCTGTAAGAGGAAGACATGTATGTTTTGAATATGTTGAGCAAAAAAACATTGAATTTTTTTTGTTTATGTGGACTTGAGGTGCTATAAAGTGCTGTTCCAGAGCATCTGGGGTGCTCTGCTGAGCAGCTCCGGCTTCCAGTCGATGGAATTGTGCACTGTATGTTCGACTTACATGTCTCTCAGGGCAGGTGCCACAGGTGTCCGTTACTTCATGACTTCTCAAGTACTAACTGCCAGACAGGCTCGTTGGTCGTGTTTTCTTGGCTAATTTAATTTTGAGATCTTGCACACACCAGGGAAGACCAACCCGGCGGACCCGGCTTCGAGAAGATCGGATTTTGCAGGTGGAAAACGAGATACAGCAAAAGTGGTTTTGTTGGGATCCAGACAAATTGAAGGAACTGATATCAATGTGATCTGCATTAAGAACCCGGCGAGCTTTGATCTTTCTACTTATATGCCTGTTGCAGACGAACTGAAGTGCGAAATTGTGGCAGCTTATCTAGGTGACGGACTGATCGCGGGAATACACCCGTCATTCCTGCGTTTTCTAGGCGGTTTGTGGTGGTGGAGAGACAGGATTTATGTTCCAGCAATATTAAGGACGTCGATCTTGAAGCGCATTCATGAGTCCTGCGCGGGAGGTCACTGGGGAAGTTTGAAGACCTTGGACTTACTGACACGATCTTTTGGGTGGCCAAATGCACGAGTGGATGTGTTGCATTACATCAAAAGTTGCACAAGTTGTCAGCAAGTAAAAGTCGATCATCATTCCCCTCAAGGCCAGCTGATTCCTTTACCTGTTCCAGAGCGCCCGTGGTCTACAATTGGAATTGATTTCATCGTGAAATTGCCACTTTCTGATGGTTTTGACAGCATCATGGTAGTGGTAGATCATCTTTCCAAAGCGGCACATTTTATACCAGCCAAGGAGAGTTGGAAAGCTGATGATTTAGCGTCCGCTTTTGTATTGAATGTTTTTCGCTTTCATGGTTTACCTGACACGGTGGTCTCAGATCGTGGGACGACTTTAGTCTCCAGCTTTTGGACAAGTGTCATGCGACTCTTGCAGATCTCACCTGCACCATCGACGGCATTTCATCCACAGACGGATGGACAAGTGGAAAGGATCAACGCACTTGTAGAAGACTACCTACGACATTTTGTATCCGATGACCAAGATGATTGGACAGCATGGCTGCCAATGGCAGAGTTCTCCTATAATAACACTGTGTCAAGTTCAACTAAGATGTCGCCGTTTTTTGCTTTGCAAGGCTATCATCCTCGGTTTAACTCATTGACCGGTTCCTCCGGACGTCCAAGTGCGGATGGGTTTGTGGTTCATTTGCAGGAAATCCAGAAACGATTGATGGATAATCTGACGCAAGCAAAATTGGCACAAGCTCGTTTCTACAACAAAGATCGCAGAGTCAATACCACTTATCAACCGGGTGACCTAGTCTGGCTTTCACGCAGAAATATGAAGACAAAACGTCCTAATGACAAATTAGATGTACGACGTTTGGGACCTTTTCGGGTTTTGAGGATGATAGGAATGAACGCAGCTGAGTTGGATTTACCCGCCTCGATGAGCCGTTTGCACCCTGTCTTTAACGTCTCTCTTTTGATGCCGTTCGTAGGACAAGAACCTCAAATATCTCACACAGAACGCACGCGTTGGGGATCAATATTAGGATTGCAAGAGAAACGAATCAAGACTATCCTGAATTATCGCCTCGATGCGCTTGGCATCCATGAATATCTGGTGCGATTTCAGGATACGACTTCACTGGATGATCAATGGGTACCTTTGTCACAGTTACCACTTGACTTGGACACCTTTTTGGAACGGTTTCACAGACTCTCACCTACTTTGGGACCAGGACCCTCACAATTTGTGTGGGTAGCTCGTGCTCGACGTCGCTTGGATCAACCCACTTCCTTCAACACATCACAACTATGAAGACATCGTTCTTTGAGGACTACGGACAAATTTTTTCTACGAAAGCCAACCCCTGTGAGCCTAAACAAGCCACTCAAGATGTGGGTATGTGAAGGCAATTGGAGTTTTTTGGTTTTTTCCGTATTTTGTGGTATAAGGAAGGTCATATTTTGTCATGAACCTTAGCGTGTCTAGAGACTTAACAGCTTGTTTTATAATAAGGCTACTATGTTATAATAGCTACTTAGCTGACAAGTCGTGAATTATAAAAATAATGAAAGATCAGGAACAAGGAACGAAAGAAAGAAGTATTCACATATTGTAATTTGTTCTATTTATATACTTTGTCTTTGTGTAGAAACTTGTTTTCCTTTTCTCTTCATCAGAATAACTCCACCAGGGGGTAAATCGCACCGCGCGATAACCGTTTTTGGAGCCGCTCAGAAACGTCCGACTTTTAATTTAGTCGAGACCATTCTGAGA